ATTTCCCCAATTAGCATAATAATTCATAATTTTTTGGTTCTAATCACATTTCAATTAAACTTGGTACATAGAGTTTTTGTTACATTGCGCAGACCTCATTAGTTTTACAATCAAATCTGTTCATGTTAATTTTCTGATTTGCATAATTAGTTTTCAGCTAAGTAATTTCAAATTATATTTAATGTGTCTCCAATACTCTCAGCACATGGGAGTTCTTTCTAAGCTTTCTTTGATTCTTTGTTTTTATAGAGTTGATAACTGCCCATTTGTTTTGGCACGCGACAGAAAGTATTGTGAAAACAGGAAATCAACAATGACAAGAGAGATTCACTAAATCAACATTTCGCTATTACGTCATTTTACTACAATTCGCTAAAATTGCATGTCGCTTTTTCAACATGTTTTATAGTAATTCATATTATTAGTTTTATAATCAATTCACACATCCGTTTGTTGTGTTGCAGTTAGACATTCAACCAGTGCTTTATTGAAGACATTAGGTACAGGATATAATCAACATATTTAATAATCACATATGGTCATGTGATCTCTTTAAATATGCACATCTTGTCTGGAGCACTATTGCTGATAGAAATTCAACTAGTGTTTTATTGAAGACATTAGATACATCTAATAATTAGAATATTCAATAACTATATATGATCATGTGATCTCTTCAAAATTACATAAATATCATATCTGGAGCACTATTGCTGATAGATATTCAACCACTGTTTTATTGAAGACATTGGGCATACAATATGATCAATGTAATTTGATAACCATATATGGCCATTTAACTGAATTAAAAATGCATATCATATGTGGAGCACTATTGCAGGTATAGACCTAAAAACAATGCTTTATTCTGATCAACATATTTAACAAGTGTATTAAACGCTACTGCATATATAACTCTTCAACCAGTACATGTAATACGGGGGGGGGGGGGGGGGGGTCTACTATCTCTTATGGCTTCCTTGTTTATTAATGGTATTCTTACATTGCTCTTGTGAATCTACAATGTCCTTCAGATGACCTTATTTTGATGAATTATAAAATGCTTCTAAATCTCTCAGCTTAGTTATAATGAAATCTCACAGTATGCAAAAAAGTCAGCAATTAACAAAAGACTGTAGTAAGTAAATGTATCTGTTTAATTGACAGTGTATCCCACCCTAGACGATGACGAGGGTCCATTATTCAAATCAAGATCCAAGAAACCGAGGAGAGATCCAGCTGATGCACCATGGAATCCCAAAGCTAAATTAGTAGCATCATGTCCGAAACCTGACAGGCCAGTAAGAGAGGCTGCTAAAAAACCGAATGTTGAATCGGGTTTAGCTGAAGCTGCTGCAAGGTTAGCCAACCAGGTAAATATTATATCATGTCCTTATGCATTTTAGACTAAGATCTAAGTGTGACCATTCAATTACCATTCTCTTTGATCATGATTTGACCCTCCCTGTGACTTACATATAACATATTTTCAACAAATATTTATGTATAGAAATTTGCTGGGAGAAGCACACTGCCTTAGTATTTTGTATTTCTAATATGGTACACATTTCCAACAACAAAAATAGTGTAGTATTTTTAAACTCGTTTTACTGTTAATTTGCTGAATGTTATGTTAATATTTATTTTCACAGCCAAGACCAAAGAGGCAATACATAAGAAAAAAGTCTGTTGAGAAGCCTTGTAGTGATCCTATACTTGAACCTAGTCCATCCACATCAGGTTTAAACCTCAGTCATTCCATGGGTACAGATGCATTTCAACATGAACTTGATAGTGAACTCAATTTGTCTAGTAGTGCACCAGGCTCACTTATTAAAGGTGCTCTCAAAGACCAGTCTGGAAAATGTAAGTAGTATTTGGTGTTCTCAACAGATACCGGGTAATTGTATTTGTAAATTTCATTGCTAGGCATAAATCCCTGCTTTCTCGTTTACAATTCTTGTCATTTTTTTGTTTTACAGCAAGAAAACCTAAGAAAGGCATGGCTACAGCCAAGCAAAGACTCAGTAAGATACTAAAACTACAGAAAGGCGGAAGGCTGATTCTTTGATAGTAGTCCATAATACAGGGTTACTAATTCATTAATAATGTACAGATTAACTATTTATACTTCCTGGGTTTTTCACGTCTCAGATGTTTATGACTATGCAATGTATTTATTTATTTCATTTTGTATTTAAGCTTAATTTCTTTTAAATTAAATTAAATTAAATTTTGGGGTTGTGATTTATTTGTAATTTCAGGTCAAGGATCAGTTTGTTATTTGTAAATATTCTTTATTTGCATGCATTGGTCGGCAAACTTTTTCAGGGAATTTATATTTTTTTTCTTAATACATGAATGCATAATGCATTCAGTTTTGTTGCTATGTAGGATTTTGTACATATTTCTCAAGTCCTGGCCCTTTTTGTATGGTACACTGTTATTTTCTGCTTTCAAAATTCCATATAATAACCAGTGAGTCTGATTTTTTTTGGCAAGTTCTGCCACAGTCTCGAACTATTTCATACCTGATATGTATCTGGTCATTTTACTGCTGGTATGCCCTCTTCTCCTTAATTTAGTTTTTCATTTTTTTCTACATAATTTTATGTCCTATTACAAGAATTATGTAATACTATTTGCATAAGAGGTTGCTTATATTATTAGTAGGGGTTTACGGGTATACCACACAGTGCTGTCAGTGGATAATGTACTTATTTTGCCCCAAACCCTGCTATTCATATTCAGATGAATTGAATGCACTTGTCTTTGTTCAGGCACTTCTTACAGCAATAGAAAAGAGGGTTAAAACACCCATGATGACAATGTCATTAGCAAATCCATGGCATTTATGTGAGGTGAAATACGCAATTGATACTGTAGAATACTTTATTTTCACTAGAATTAATTTTCGCTGATTTTTGATGAGTTTAATGTGAAATATAGGAAAAAAAGTATATTCGCTGGATTTTATTTTCACAGAATCATTCCTTCAGCGAAAATAGCGAAAATAAATTCCAAGCAAAAATAAAGTATTCTACAGTATTATATTTTCATTTGAGCCTTATTTACCAGTGACACAGTATTCCATGGTGTTTTTAATGGCAATAAGAAATAATTGTTTTGTTGAGGAAGATGAAGAGGGATTTGATCCTGATACTAATGTATGTATAATTCATGTGTGAAATAGTATACCACATATTCCTGCCATAGCAGAGATTTGTAGATGGATTGTTTAGGATTTCAGAAAGGGCCATTGCAATATTTATTCGTTCGTGGACAATTTTTTGTGGTAGTGGTATATTCCATGTAGAGGTAGTGAATATGTTCAATATAATTATGAAACTGTGTTAATGGTTGATTTCTTAAAAAGCAAAGCGTGCAATAAAACTGTCCACTGACAGCACAGGTTAATCAAAACTAGAACCATGTTATTGGGTCATCTTGCCAGTATTTTTTCTTTTGGACCAAAAACAAAAAAATGTGTTATTCTATGTATTGCATTCGGTGGTTGTGCATTGACCAATTCATACTGACTAGGAATTCTTATGGAATGTTATATCAATGTTTCATTTTGCAAGCTCGTAAGTAAGTAAGTTCTTGAGTTCCTGTAAATCTATATTTTTACGGCCAACTTCATTGACCTTGATCGTAATTTTTGCTCAATGGATACAATGTATTCACTTTACATGACTCTCTGTTTGACTACTATAGACATACAACTGTACAGGACTTGGATGTCTTCGCAAAATAAGTCTTGGTGGAAATTGATCAAACTCTTATTCTGCAGCAATTTCTGACAATTTTATATCCAGTCAACTCCTAGTTCCATGGTGTATTTATAGCAATTCATAACACTGTAAATAGACCGCATGTTTCACCTGTTCATTTCTATTTATCTATTTGTAGACATTTTTCATTCAAAGATTGTTAGATTATATTGTTTAAAATATTTTCACATTTTATTTTTGATCAAATGAAACAGCAGAATAAAATGTTTTGTACATAGGGACTGATCTGTATATTCGTGTGCGTTTTGTGTGACATGTCTGCAAGAAGTATGTACCATATTTCAAGTTATAATTTACAGATGATCACAGCTGATTGACTACAAATATAATGCAGATTTATAGGGATTGAGTATATACAACAATACCTTTTGTAAATTTACGATTGAAGGCAGGCCATCATTTGGTTTCTGCGTATTGGGAAATTAAACATTTTATCTCCAGTACCTACAAAGCTTGTAGAATAGACAGATTGTCTAGTGTCAATCTGTCAAATTTTAGTTCTGCAGTTACGGTAATGAAGAGGACTGTCGCAACATGAACAGGATTTTGATATTATTAGTCCATGTTCGAACAAAGTCTGAAAAACAGGGTCTTGTGGATTGACATCTGCATTGTCTCAAGCATGCTTGGACTGATTAATTTCAAACTTATAACATACATCTTATCTGACATATGCACATGAATTTGTTTCGTGATCCAATTCAAGATGGCACAATGCAGCTATTTTAAAGCCAATAATCTCAAAATCACACATTTTATTTTTCGGGTTCAAAATGGCTAACTGTTTTGTTTCTGTGTTGGTGTTCATAATTGCACACTCTAATTTTCACCTGCTTTTTAATTTATTTGTTTAAAGAGTCATGAGTAACGTCCATATTTTTTCCACATTATAATTAGGTGATTACTAACCAATTTATATATACAATGTATGCTTAATTAATTTGTAGGACCTTTCCCCACCCTATGCTGTGATCATCCGACTATAAGCTGTGATCTTTCTTACCTTTGTAGTTATTTCTTCATGTTATGCTGTGGTCTGTCCTACCTACCTGTGATCTGTAATATCTCTAACGTATGCTAAAACCTGCCTACCCTAACATTTAAAGGGCAAGCCATGTGTAGTTTAACTATGCTATTTTTTGGATTGGGTTAAAATGGCCGACTGGTGGCATGCCTGGCAACTTCACTTATACATCGGACATCATCAGCAGTCATCGCGTTAAAACAAGTGTAGCCATATCTCCATATAAATTTGAACTCGCGTATATAAAACAAAAGGTGGTTACCGGGGTACATTGACAATGACTTGTTGAACAAGATTCACCTGGGGATTAACACCCCCCCCCACACACACACACACATGCTATAAGATCTATACACTGGCTCTTAATGTAACCTAAAATGCACCAATAAACAATGACTATTCTAATTACACAAGTTAGCCTAAATTGGAGTGACACAACATTTATATAGTTGCCCCGTGTCCATTGTTATACGTATGATGCTTTCGATAGCATCCAGTTTTTTTTCAACATCCATTGTCCCATCCCTGCCCGCCATAGTGTTCTATACAAAATGAGTTGTGTGTCAAAAAACAAACCACAATGAGGAGGGAAATACAGACAACTATTAAATATAATCTAACTTTGGTCAGATGAAAGTCCTAGATGCTCCGCGCCTCAGACTTTCAACATACCTTTTCGTTAAAAGTGCCCTTTGACATACTCATAAGGGTATGACAACTATGAAATGTTTGCAATTTGATATTTGGACTTTAGCTCGAATAACTTGAAATTGTTAACTTAGGTGAGTTCGTATGACCTGCAAACTTGTGGATGCCTGGGTATAATCCACAATAACAATTTGGAGGAAATTTTTCATTACTCTATTTGCACAACAATGAGTTTGTTTTTATTAATCAGGTATTAAGAACCGCTTATAACATTTCAATAACAGAGTTAATTCATTGGGAAACTCCACAGAGCTGATTAGTTTTCATTTGAACAATAAATATTAATTACATACTTTGCATACTAATTAACCAATGTCTAGATATTTTCGGGCATACCATATGAAACACACTTTGATGAAGGTAATTGCATTTTGTGGGCAATCTTGCAAAATTTGCTACTAATTAAGATGCTAACCCTGTGTGTTCAGTTGCATCTCAGAACCTCGATTTAATTAACTTACCTCAATTAACTTAATAATCTCATTTGCATGCTTAATTGATTTTTTTGGTAAAATTATCCAAATGTTAATATGTAATTACACTACCTAATATGACACCAAGATTTACCAGTAAAACCATTATTATTTCATTTAAAAAAAAAAAATCATGAATTTAAATGACTCAAAGTTTTTTTAGACTCAAAGTACTCAATTGATATTTAAAATAATACAAATATACTTGGTATTCATCTACGACGGTAAGTTATACTAGGAACGCGATGAGATCGTTATATGCACTTTTCGACAAATCAAGTATTACATTATATTATACATATATAGAGATATGAGTGACCTACTAAAACGCAATCTAAGCCCGATAAAACCCAAACCCAAACCAGGTCAGATCACAGAATGTAATGTGTACACACACTGTAACTATATTCGTGTATTATTGTTGTGTTTTGTAGAAACGGTTTTGCCGATTTGATTGCGAGGCATGCCGTGAAATGATTTGAGATACGTCACGCTCAGTAAGAACATAAAAACACGCCATCATTGTTCAGATCGCTATAAGTAACGCGTGTAACTTCTCAAAACGAGACAGCATTGTTCAAAATAAGCCACTTGTAATGGTTTATTTGCTCGTAATAGAAAGGATATTATAAGGGTTTTTACATGAGAAGAGGATAAGAATTTGACGTAAAAATATAGTATTACAATTGTACATTCGACGAGTTTTCTACTACTTGCGTGAAACAGACTTAGAACATACACCATATTCGAATGTTTCTGAGTTCAAGAATGATGGTTATAAATAACTTATTTTACAAGACGTCAACACCGTGGCGAGCATAAATGTGTGACAACATGGGCAGCGTTCGACAAATTCTACTAATACTACTAAACTTCGTGCATGGTGGGTAAATACATTATTGTAACGTCGTCATTACCATCCTGAATATAGAATGTTTTCACCTTCAGTACCCCAAACTTTTACTAACAGTTTATGATTATGCCTTTCCGTTAGTAACATCTATCTAACACATTACACATTTACTATTATTATGTAAGTGTTCTTGTTTGTATCACCAGGTTTATCAGCTGCAGTAGACTGTCCATCGGGATGGTCGGAATACAACGATCAGTGTTATAAATATTATTCGACCCTCAAAAGCGCAACCGCAGCTGAGGACTACTGTCAATCAGTAGGTGGGCATCTAGTGACTGTGAGAAACGAAAATGAACAAACTTTCGTTTCAAGCCTCGTACAAGATTCAAGTTCATCAATTTGGATAGGTATGTGAATAATGATAATGTGTGTATTATTTATCAGTGATGAGAAGGGTGGTCACAATCATGTTCAAAGAGTTACTTGAGGCATACTTATGTACATTGTCGACATATAACTCCTATATTTCGTGCATGGTTTATACAATGTTGGCACGTAATTGTGACATGAAACAGTGGTTTATTTTATGATCAACAGAACTTACAGTTGTATTTGAAGGTTTATAACGAAAGTTCTGTCAACAACGTTGCACCATTCTTATCAATTGACAGTCACATTTCCATGCTAACGCGGTTATTTACTAATACATATGAACCAAAATACCAATTATTTCAGGTTGCTATGACAACAAGAAATCATGACCAAATTGTTTTTTTTATTTGGGAGTGAGATTTCAACACAAAAACAGATCACTTCATTGAGCCACCACATGTATTACCAAACATTACGATTTACTTATGCCACACTGTATTCAGCAATATCAATCAGCAAGAAAACAAGATTTTAAACTTCATAGAGAGAATTTCACAATAGTAAAAATGTTCCTATTAAATTAGAATGACAAACCCGAGAAATTAAGTTTACTGGTAGCGTAGTGGTTGTTGCACAATGTTGCATCAGGCTCATGAACGGTATACCCGAGTTCAATTCCTACCTGACGGCGAACATTTGAAAAGGGTCGACTCCTGCCGTGCGCCGAGACTTATTCACTAACAGATTCGAATTTGGGAAAACCTTGGTTGAGGGATGCAGGTGCCTATGTTCGTCCGGGTCTGGTTGGCGCTATGATAACGCATTAAATTGCTATTATGGTAGGTCACAAGCCCTGTTGCGCTGTCCCAAACATGGAATATGCTTCCTATGGCATCAGTTTGCAGTGCGAGAGAGAGGTGACTGAAGGCCATCTTCGGCCATTCATTTAATCCCGATTTTTGATCATGTTAAAAAAAGTAGATGTCATGATAAAGACATGTTGGTGTTGTAAGTCTCTTATCACATTATGCAAGATACACTAAATGTAACACTGAAAATATTATTATTAGAGTAATATATGGTTGGGGTAAATTCTTGAGAAATTGGCTATGTATACACACTCAATAATTTGCACAATCTCGACACTTTTAATTGTTTTCTAGGTTTTTGGCAGATTGATGATGGATGTTGGCGATGGATAGAAGACCCTTTAGATGACGATAGTTATTGCCAATACGGAAATACATATAGCAATGGGCCGATAAACGATGCCTGGACATACTGGAATACGAATGAACCGAATGACTCTGGTGGCGAGGACTGTGCGCATCTGTGGCCAGCGACAACGGTTGGACATAGATGGAATGACCTTGACTGCAGCAATGCCTTCCCCTTCTTATGTAAAACAGGTATTCTGTAACATTTCATCTTAAAGGGCGGTGGTGTTCGCATCGCGTCTTGTTTGATATGGTACTCATAGCGACCTATACAACGTGTGTAAAAAGACATTTTTTGTTTACATGAATTTAGAACACGCGCTGCGAGACGATCATCATCCATTAACCATTAACAAGTACGACCGCCGAGCAAGCTACCAACGGCAATATAGCATTTCTACTGAATCGAGTTTTTGTTTTGTTTTACTACTGTAAAATGACTAATTTTCACTGGGTTTAAATTTCACTGATTTACCATTTCAGGCATATTCAGTGGGTTTTAAATTCACGGTTTCGTCATTTAGATAATGTGTTCTATGCTAAATTTTACATATTCACTGTGTTTTAATTTAGCGCATTTTTCCAGTCAGCGAAATAAGCTAAATTAAAACCCAGTGAATAATTACCCCCTTTACAGTAATTTACTTTAACGCTACAATTTATCTTTATAATTTGTAATTACACAATACCTTAATAAACCTTGATAATAATCTGTATATCTGCCATGCATATTAAAGCGCGGAGTCACGTGCTGCGCATGTGCGAAATATATGGATCTC